GGAGATAGGATGCATCCCTGGCGTACGCCCTTCGCAATTTTGAACCATGCAGTGTTCCCTTGCTCTGTTCTGACGACTGCCTCCTGGTCCAAGTAGAATTCATCCATTTTGTGGAGAATATTCACAGTCCATTTCTTGTCATAGTTTAGTGTGTTGTACCTACAGACTACCTTTTGTTTTTGTTTGTTTTATTTAAATTTATTAATAATTTTGGTAAAAATTTACAGAGAGTTTGGATTTCCATTCATTCATTGTTGCACTTTTCTCCCCTCCCAACCTACCCCCTTGGAAAAGTAAAAGAAAAATTCTTTCATTGTTTTATAAACCCTCCCTCAGGTCTACTCTACCATGTAGCCTTCCCTCTAGACTCTTGTCATGACAAAAATGCCTTATCACATATCCCTTTTAAACAGTTTTCTCCCTCCTCTGTTTCAGTGCAGTATACATTAATGAACCCATCTTTCTCAGTCTCTCCCTGACCCCAAGGTCAGTCCTGTTTTACAACTGTGGCACCATGCAGTTATTTGTCCTTTTGTAACTGAGATACTTCACTCAGCATAATGTCCTCTAGGGTCACCCATTTTGAATAATATTGCACTAGTTCTTTGTTTTTCAATGCAGCCTAGTATTCCATTGTGCGAATATACCACAGCTTCTCTATCCATTTGTTTGTTGATGGGCACTTAGGTTGTTTCCAGCTCCTTGCTATTGTGAACAAAGTCGTGATAAACATGGATGTGCATTTATCTACTTGGATGTCAGTTATTGTCTCTTTGGGGTATATTCTCAGTAGTGGAATTGCTGGGTCAAATGGTATTTCTATTTGCAGTTTTTTGAGAATGTGCCATACCGCCTTCCACAGTGGTTGCACAATTTTACACTCCCACCAACAGTTTCTCCACAACCTCGCCAGCATTTGTTGCTTGCTGTTCTGTTAAATTTTGCAATTCTACCTGGGGTGAGATGATATCTCATAGTTGTTTTAATTTGCATCTTTCTTAGAGCTAGGGATTTTTAACATTTCTTCTTGTATTTTTTAGCCATCTGAATGTCTTCTTCAGTGAAGTGTCTGTTCATATCTTGTGCCCATTTTTCTATTGGATTATTTACCTTTATCTTGTGGTGCTTAAGTATTTTTTAAATTCTGGATATAAGTCAATTATCTGATATGTCATTACCAAATACTTTTTCCCAGTCTGTGGCTTCCCTTTTTACCCTGTTGGAGAAGTTTTTGGATGTGCATAGGGATTTGATTATTAGAAGATTCCATTATCTATTTTATCTTCTCCTGGTTGTACGTGCAGACTACCTTTTTTTTATCTATTCTCTTATTGATGACATGGATGTTCTTTGCAACTTTTGGCTGTTCTGAGGTGTACTGCAGTGAGTCTTCATTTGAGTTCCTACTTTGAGGTCTCATGTGTTCTATCATAGGGTCAGAATCTTGGGCCAGGCCTAGTTCTCTATTTATTTGGCAGGTGCCACATAATACTTTCCACTTAGCTATAATTGGAGGTTCCATTTCTCAACAGTATTTGTTATTTTCAGTGTTTTTTTCTGGATGGGTAAGAATGTCAATTTGACCATGGGCCTATTCTTTGGCATTTATTTAGTAGTGTAATGATGTGGGATTTTTTGGTCTTTTTTTTTTAAATTTTTTATTTTGTATTGGTTTATTTACAAAGTTCTAATAGATTGTTTTTCACACCAGATCTTTCCCATTTCCTCCCCTACCTCACCACTCCGTCAAATTGTATGACCCTCTGATTAACCCCTTCCCTGCCCATCCTCACCGCTCTGCTTCTGGAAGGCAATTTGGCACTTCCTAAAAAAAGCTGAACATAGAAATTCCATATGAACCACCAATACCACTGCGTGGAATATACCCCAAAATAATGAGAACTGAGGCAAAGATGGAAACTTGTACACCAGTGTTCACAGCAGCAACATTCACCATTGCAAGAACATGAAAACAGCCAAGATGTCCAACCACAATTGAATGGATTGACAAATTATGGTACATTCACACAGTGGAATACTATGCAGCGCGCAGGAGCAATGCTTTTATGAATTACTACCTAACTTGGGAGGGACTGGAGAGCATTATGCTGAATAAACTCAATCCCACAAAGACAAATGCTGTATAAAACCATTATTGTAGAATGATCCAAGGTGGGGGGAGGGTCGAAGCAGAGGGATGAGGATGAGTGGGGAAAGGGAGCTTAATCATAGTGTTGTAATGATTTGTTTATCCCTTATGATACTATCAGCCTGTTCTGATGAAGGAGGATTATTATTAAAGTTGGCTGCTGAACATTAATCTGGTCACACAGCCCTGAGTTAATGTAGGAGATATCTCCTTGGGATATGATCTGCATTAGAGATATAGCTGTGGACTCAGGCAAAGCTTCCTAGCTTTTGTTCAAACCTGAATTCTGCATCTTGTTACCTCAGGTTCTTGGGACCTAAGCCTACTGATCTTTTATTTATTTATTTATTTTTAAATTTTGTACCATTGAATCTGCTGTTAGGGACCTCTCTAAGGTACTCAGGAGCAACAGTGTCTCTCTGGACACTAAGGTGCGCCTGATACAGGCCATGGTATTTGCAGTCGCTTGTTATGCATCAGAGAGTTGGACAATGACTAGGGAGGACAGAAGGAGAGTGGATGCTTTTGCGCTGTGGTGCTGGAGAAGGGTACTGA